GATGCCATGATCTTAGTTTTCTTAATGTTGAGTTTCAAGCCAACTTTTGTGCTCTCCTCCTTCACCCGCATCAAGAGGCTCTTTAGTTCCTCTTCACTTTCTGCCTTTAGAGTGGTATCATCTGCATATCTGAGGTTGTTGATATTTCTCCCAGAAATCTTAATTCCAACTGGTGATTCATCTAGGCCCACCTTTCTCATGATGTGCTCTGCATATAAGTTAAACAGTATACAGCCTTGCCGAACTCCTTTCTCAACTTTGAACCAATCAGTGGTTCCATGTCCAGTTCTCACTGTTGCTTCTTGACCCACATATAGGTTTCTCAAGAGACAAATAAGATGGTCTGGTACTCCCATATCTTTAAGAACTTGCCACATTTTGTTGTGATCCACACAGTCAAAGGCTTTAGCATAGTCAATGAAGCAGAAGTAGATGTTTTTCTGGAACTCCCTAGCTTTCTCCATGATCCAGCGTATGTTGGCAATTATGATACTTCACTGGAGGTGACTGCCTTCAGCCCCATTAATTCCAGTGGGTCTACTCTACATAGGACTAACATTGGGCACTTTCTGAAGTCTCTTGTAACACCTTCAAGATCAACAGAAGTTACTCCATAGAAACTTCTTATGCTATAATAAATGAGTTGGCCGTTAATGCACTCCCAAGTTCTTTGCTTTTAAAAATGCTGTATCTGGAAAGTTAGGCTTTAGCATTCTTGCCATAAAATTCCACACAATAACCATTACACCACTGTGTTTTAAACCATACTTTCTGCCTTAGTCCTGTCCCCAGCTGCAGTACGGGGGTATTAATTCTAACCTACTTTACAGGGCTGTTTGGAGGAATCCTGAAATAATAGTTATGCACTGTGCCTCAAATGATGCAGACCCACAGCACTTTAAAAGTAAAATTATTATAGCATGTCTGATTTAAAAAAATATTTATTTTCCTAGAATGAAATTTCCATTTCATGGAGACCATCAATGGAGTTTCCTGGAAACCTGTAAGTAAGATGGTACAAATTTTGAGCATATTTATCATGTGGATGCATTTCTTGGGGGAAATGGTTTTGTTTCATTTCTTTCCATGTGGGCAGTTTATACCTGAAGGAACTTCTCACACCCCTTAACATCTGCAGGAGAGGCCCTGTTCCTGGAACCCTCCTTGAAGGAGGTAAAGAGGATTTCTAGTAGGGCCTTCTCTGCGGTGGCACCCAGACTGTGGAATGCGCTCCCCTGAGAGGTTCGCCTTGCGCCGAGCCTGTTCTCTTTTTGGCGCCAGGTGAAAACCTTTTTATTTGAACATCATTTTAAGAATTAGGGATTTTTAGAATTAAGTCAACTCACTTTTTTTTGTGATTTACTCATTTTTAACTCTCACCATATTTTTATTCTATTGATTGTATTTATTATTGCTAGTTATTTATTATTGTTTATGGTATTGTTGTTTTTATCATTGTTGTTGATTTTATGCTCGTAAGCCGTCCTGAGACGCTGCTGTGAAGGACGGGTTAGAAATAATTTAATAATTTAATAAAACAAGTGTGAGTGATGCAACCTGCAGTTTGACCTTGAAATGCAAGTAAGCCATTCAAGGCAAAGCTGCTGGTAATGAAGCAACAGGGAGTGGAAAACCAGCCTCGGAGGACGTGCACGGGATTGCTATCCATGTGGCTCATGGGATGGTTTGAACATCTTTGATGAGATCTGGGCTTTTCTGCAGGATCAGGGAGAATCTGAAATGGTGAGACAGAACAGCGGATGAATGCAGGATGTGCCGCAGAAAGCCTCGTCTCCTTGTGCCATTATGAGTAGCTGACCTTGGGAGCTTTCTCTGGTCTGGAGCGTCTCCCACCTGTACATAGGTGGACTTGGAAACGAGGTCCATTTTGATGTACCAGAGTGATGGACTTCTAGGCTTTGGGTGCATCATGGGAGTGAAGATTCATGGGAGAAGACAATAATGCTAGCAAAAGTTGAAGACAGAAAATGAAGCACAAACATGATATGGATCAGTTCCATAATGAAAGCCACAGCCCTGAGTTTATTAAACCTGAGCAGAGCTGTCAAGGACAGGAGATTTGGAAAGGCATTACAGTGCCTGGGGTTGCCAAAAGCCATAGATGACCTGATGGCATGTCATAAGACTATTTTTCAGTGCTCTGAAAGCAAAATAAACAAAAACACTTTCTGCAAATAGAAAGCTAGCAACTCAGGGATATGCTAAACTGTCTCTCTCTAGTGTGCTAGTTATGTGCTTTTTTACATGAAGAAGCATTGAAAATCATCCCATTCAGAAGAGAGTTCTGCCACCTTGTGCATCAGAGGACTATAGTGGAATTCAGATAGATGGCTATATAGAGATGGTGAAAAAATGGATTTTGATTTTAATTCTCTCTCTTGTTTATCATTTCTCAAAAGGTACAAAGCAGAGGGAGTTATTCCTGCAAAACCAGAAGATGTGTTTAAATGTGTAAAACCAGAGACTGGTGGACTTAGAGAGAAATGGGATCAAAATGTGAAGGAAGTTGTGGTCATTGAAACAGTAAATGAAGTAAGTATACAAGAGCTGTATTCTGTCAGCAGCGGCTGGGCAGAAATGCCTGTCCTTTTTATGGTGAGGTGGTTGTAGGAATGGGCTTGCCTTCACCAGTACAGTGCCAGGACTGTGTTCGCTGACTGGCTATCCACCCTCATTGACCTGAAGCAGCTGGGTGCATCTTCATCAGCAACATTAAGGCCTGTGGTTGTTGACTAATGTCTATCGCAAGCATTAGATAGATAAACTTTATTAGCTAGATCTATCTGTCGCAAGCATTAGAAGCCTCCACCTGGGCCTCACTCAGCACCATGCAAGAACTGTGGTCACTAACTGGCTGCATGCATCATCAAGGCCATCAGCAGCGACCATCTGTGCTGACTGGGCTCTGGAGCGCCAGGCTGCCAGCAAACTATCCAGCCTTGCTGACAGCAGCCATTTGCACCCAAGGTTGAGCTGTGAGTCTGTGCCCACTTACATGGAAGCAAGTCCCATTGAACTCAGTGGGGCTTATTTCTGAGTCAACACACATAGAATTTAAGTCTAAAGCTTACCTGGCCATGGTCTTAGTGTTTGCTATTGCTGCTTATAATCGCAAGCTTTGTAACTGGATTTATTTCTTGGATTTCTTGGTAGCATTTCTGGATTTTCAAGTCTCTCTGGCAGCATCAGGGGATTGCATGGGGGATACAAATATAGGAATCACACTTTGCCAGTGCCTGAGAGTGGCATGCTGCAAACTGTTACGTGGTCCCATCGGTTAAGATGACTGGCCTTTCCCATGCTTAGCACTTGGCCACACACAGAGTACATGCCTAAAATATTCATCTGGGTAAAGATAGTAGAATTCCTCTTTATCCTGCAGTTTACAACACGACCCTGATTTGAACTTTGCAGAATGTCTGTGTAACCAGAACCACGACTCCTTCAGCTTTCATGAAGATCATCTCTCCAAGAGAGTTCTTAGATGTGGTCCTGATTAAACAGGACAAGGATGGGATTATCGCAACTATGGGTAAGGCATTTAATCCAGCGTGTGGACCAGCTCATGGGGCAGATGTGCACGAAGGTGCGTGGGCGGCACCCAGCTGAAAAGGTGGGTTGCATGGGGCAAGCCGAGCGTTCACTTCCCCAAGCGCAGGACTTGCGATGAGCCATTCACACGTGCGCGTGGCTGCTTGGGGCTACCGTGACCCGCAGTGCATGCGGGAGCAGCCTTCTGAGAACTGGTAGCAGGCTGGAGTGGCATGGGCATGTTCAACAATGTTGGTGTGCACAGTGACCCCAGGAGCGTGCAGAAATCTTGCAAAAGTACAGGGTGCAGCGAGGTGCACAGGATATGACAGTTACAGTCAGAATCAATCAGTTATGAAGAACCCCTTTGGGAAATCCTGCTCAGGTCAAATCAGAGCATGAAACGGAGCACCCCCCCTGCACCACCCACGCAGCCTGCTCATCCTCTTTGGCATGGCTGACACGCTCATGCCCCTGAGGCGACGGAACCCAAACCAGCAGAACTCCCCTTCTGCACAGTCCCTGACTCGCCACGGTGGAGCAGAACCTGGGCTCACAGGGAGGTGGGGCTCACATTCTGCGACCGCAGGGCTGCTGATGTGCATGGCCATCCCTCTCGGGCCTCCTTGCCCCCCCGCGCTTCCCTGCACTTTGCACAGCAACCACCTCTTGCCTCTAACCAAGACTGTTGCGGTGCCACATACTTAGGAATGGAATGGCTCAGTCTGGAATGAGCCAGTAAAACCTCTCTGCTTTCTGACTGCTTGCTGCTTGAGGAGATGAAAGCAGCTGGAGGGGGGTTGTTGGTATGGTTCCTTTGGGGTGCATTCAGTTTGGTCACAAAGTGCATGAGGCCATCTGCCTGTATTGGCTGAGAGGCAGTGCGGCATAGTAGTAAGAGCACTGGCTTTGGCCTGGGAAGTTCTGGCTTTCAGTCCCCCTTCATACATAAAGGTCACTGGGTGTCACTGGGCCAGTCAGTGATCCTCAATCTAAAGGGTTGTTGTGAGGCTCAAATGGGGGAGAGGATGGTGTGATCTAGCTAGTGTTCCTTGCAAGAAGACGAAGAAAAAAGGAAGGATACTGATAAACAATAACAAGTCCCTTCAAAACGTGCTACTTCACGCAGCGAGGACTGGCATAGGGAGGGAAGGCCAGCACATGTTGGAGGGCTTTGAGGGGAGCTGGCATGTGCCCCGGTCTTCCCCCTCACACGTGCGGCTTGGGCGCCTGCACGTGCCAGCGCGTCTGAGGTCTTCTGTTAGAGGCGCTTCCTCAAGCACTAAACGAGGCTCTGCCTTGCATCCTTCTTGCTTGTCTGGCAGCAACCAACGTGGAGCACCCCCTTTGTCCGCCACAGCCGAGCTACGTGAGAGGGCAGAACCATCCCTGCGGCTGCTTCTGCATCCCCATTCCAGGGTAAGATGCACAGGCCCGGCTTTGCTCTCTCAAGCATTAGGGGGACCGGGGGGGGGGGGGGTGAACCTCTTCCAGTCCAGGGGCTGCGTCCCATTGGAGGATGGGCCCAAAGCACCAGCCTATTTCAGCTTGGAGGCCCAACCATTGCTATTGCTTAGAATCGGGGGGGGGGGGGACTACAGGAACCCACAAAAGTCTTGGGGTGAGGGACAGGGATGAGACCAAGGGAAATGATGTGAGGAACTCCAATGGACAGCTCCCCACTCCCAAGGCCTGCACCCCTGCAGTCTGTGGTTTGGGGAGGTGGGTGGTTCTGCTGGAGCTCTTACCACTAGAAGCTGAAACCTCCCTTGTTTGGAGGAAGGCGGTGCTGGTGGAGAGGCTCTTTCAGCTTGCAGTGAGCAAGGTGGGCGGCTGCCCTGTCAGCTGCTCTTCCTGCTCTTTTGGAACGGCTGCTGGGAGGCTGAGGCTGCTGAAGTGCAGCAGCACCTCGCTGTGCCCTGCTGGAGCAGGCCTGTGGCCGCCCCAAGGACGCCTTCGGCCCTTACATCAAGAGCCGGTGTGGTGCAGCGGCTGGCACATTTGTGCTGGGACCTGGGAGCACTGGGCCCCAGCTCCCACAAGGCCGTGAGAACGCAAGAGCACGCTGGGTTAACCCGAAGATTGCAGGGTTTGAAGGATCTGACTTCAAGGAATCCTTCCCTTCCCGCAAATAAATAACTGAATTTCCTAGTGGGGTTCCCCGGGCCATAGCAGGGACACATGCAGCCACTGCGGCAAGTTTTGGGAATGGCCACTGGTTCGACTTGCTCTCAAGGGGGGCCTGGACAAAAGCATGGCGCATCTATTCTCTCACTCCCTTTCTTGCTAATGGCAAACTCCAGGGCTCACGTGCTGATCCATTTGGGAAAGAAACGGGTTGCATGGCGACATTTTGTTGCATCTCTCACCGAGTGCTTAAATGGAACCTCCATGGCCAGAAGCAGTGTAGCCGCGAGTAGCACATGGCATTCATTGGGGCTGCTGCTTCTGTGTCACACTTCTGGGCTTCCTGAAGTCATTTGGTGGGTAGTGAGCTTGGTAGAATGCTGGATAGAAGGCTCTTGGGACTGATCCAGCAAGGTGGTTTTTATATTCTTTCAGTCAGTCACCTGAGGATAAATGCGTGCAAGTCCTGGCAGAGCAGTAAGGTTTAAAGAACGCTTTCCTACCTGTTCCATGAAAGGATGTGACGATTTCTGTGAATGCTCTCTCACCCTCCCACCTGTACTCTGACTAAAGGTTATTTCTGTTGACCTGCTTGTGGGGGTGGTGTTTCCCTGCAGGGAACCATGCAAGACCCAGCTTCTCAGCTTCTTTCAGACTGACCTCGCTGGCAGCCTCCCGCAAACAGTGGTTGATTCCTTCTTCCCAAGCAGCATAACCGGTTTTTACAGCAATCTGAGCAAAGCGGTGGTGAAACTAGCAGCTTGAACCAGACTGTTGCTTCCGAAAGCAGGGAAAGGGCTTAGTTAGCTGTGTATCTTATTCTGCCCTTGCAGGGCATTGGACGCAGCATTCAGAATGGTGACCTTCCTGGGCCATGATCTAGCCAGAATTAAATGCTTGAGAATAACACCTGTCTTAGATGGGAAAGACCTGAAACATTCGCCTTGAAATAAAAAAGATTTACAGTGCTCAGAGCGGCCCTTTGGGTCTGGGTACAGGACTGTGCGACTACGGGCTTGCTGGACATGCTAAATCACACTGCTCAATCACAGCACAAATCCTTACCCACTCGCTCTTCTTCCCATTGACCAAAGCCGCAGACTCGGCAACTCGGCTCTCAGAGCAGAAGCACGTCTGCCCGCAGGGCGCTGTGTGACCAGTGCCCCTGGACCAAAAGGAAAACCAGCCCCTCACCTGTATAAAGTTAGCATGGCATGAAGAAAAGTTCTAACTTAGTTTCTCACTGTAACCACTTCTGCATGAGGGGAAATTTTTTATACAGAGCAGCATTGCAGCGTGCGACTTCCCAAATATCAAGAAAACAGAAAGAGCATTCAGCAGTGGGCGAGGCACTCCCTTGTTTGAGGTATTGAAGGAAATGCTGAGGGCCATCTGGCAGCCACGCCATGGTGGCACCCTGCGCTTAGCAGATGGTCGGCTTAGATGCCCTTTGATGTCTCTCCAGCTCTTTAGTTCTATCCACCTGTATCACTTCACGGTGCTCCATGTAAATCTATTGCTTATGTAGCTCCACCAATAACACTGTCCTACCTTACAGGGGTGCTGTGTAGTACTATTGTACAGTTTGTGTTATGCACTTTAACAATAAAAAGATGGTGCTCTGAAATTTTACTGGTCTCTTATGCACTTGCGACACAGCTGAAAAGTCCAAAAACATGATCAGCCGTGGGACTTCATGCAACGATGGCCACACGAGCTGCATAAACCTCTTAAGTGCAAGGATGGGGGAAGATCGTTGTTAAGTAACAATCAATAATTAAAGCAGCAAAGGTTTATTTGAGTAGCACAGGACACAGCTGAAAGGTGTGGCTCGTCCAAGTGTCCCTGAATTTGGGGATGCACACTCATCCATGTGCAGGTCGAATGGTGGGCAGTGCGCGCACACCCTCCCCAGTGTTGCAAAGCAGAAAGAAAGGTGCAGCGCACGGCACAAGAGGAGACCACAACGGCTGCCTTGCGCTTTGGCTCCTTTTCTCATTCCTGATCCATCCCGGGAAGTCCATGTGTCTAGAAGCTAATTCCACGTGCCAGTCGCCGTGAGGATGCCGCCAGGTCCTGGGGAATTACTCACAGCGCCTGCCCCACCATCCAGCTCTTCTACAAGTTTCTGCTCTTGCTTCGTTTGCGCATAAAGCCTCCTGTAACTTGCATGTGGGCTTGCAGCTCTTCTCCGGCTGCAACCACGAGGGAGTGGTGAGCATTTTACACACGCCTCTTTTCTCTTCTCGCCTAAGATCAAAGGAAGCTGGGTCCAACTAGCCCCGTGCTGCTGACACTGACTGGCAGGAGTACCTCTCCAGGGTTCAGGCAGGAGCTTTTCCCAGCAGTACCTGGAGACACCATTCACCAAGCCGGCAACCTTCTTCATGCCAGGCTGACGTTCTCCCACTGAGCCATGGCTGACTTCCTCTTAGCTTGCAAGGAACACGAGCTGCAGGCAGCTGGAAGAAACAAAATCCTTTTGGCCCTGGTTAAAAAGGGACAGTAGTTCCAGGTCCACTCAGGTTCATCTTGCTGTTACTACTACTATTCCTCTCCAGGGAGAGAGTCGGCTGTTCTGCTGACGGAGTTTTTTCTCTTGATAATGGCAGTAACAGGCCCATCGGGCAATGTCTTGATAATGTTCCAGGCTTCAAAACGGGAGAGTCCTTGCATCGGCTTGGTGTGCACTTGCAGTAACTCATCTCCGGGCTGAATAGCAGAGCTGTGTTCTGATGGCACTCCTAAAGAAGCAAAGTGGACCTTGTTTTAATGTTGCAGGGAAAACGTTTGCAAAAATGACTCTTGCCATGAACAGAAGGAGCAGAGCCATCTGGGGAAGCTTAGAGAATGGAACTGGGACACCAGGTAGGCCCTCAGCCTGAAGTTCAACATCCCTGCACCAAACAGGAACAGCACAAGCACATGGGGAGCAGTTCAAATGCCACAAAGTCCGTGCAGCTCCCCACTGTCCCTCTGCTATGTAATCGGCTTCTTGCCACCAGTTCCACACTGCAAAAAATACAACCTCCTCCTCAAAATTCACCTTCCTGAAGCCTTTGGGACAATCCCATAGTCCTCGTACTCAAACATGCTGCTTCTCTAGCTTGCATGGTCAGCCGCCAAGTCACCTGCAGAGCCTTTGAGCTGGCACCATATGGCTGGGGTTAGCATGTATCCCTACGGTTAGGGCAGTGGGAAGAATCCATTTTGGGAAAGGGACTTGGCTTCCCGGACTTCAGTCTGCTTTCTCGTGGCTCTGAGCCCAAGTCCCGGCGAACTGCGCATCGAACCACGCAGCTGCCGTACAAGCAGCATCCCTCTTCCACGTCTGCCGCACATGATGCAGAAGGAGGCGGCTGGTTCGTTCCACGGGCATTTGCAGGATTCCTCTCGCTCGGCTCACCTTCCAAGGGTGGCCTGGGCACAACAGGGAGTCTGCAAATTAAAGGAGGATGGATTCCGTGGAGCTGCGGTCCCAAGAAAAACTCCTCCATTTAAACCAGGGGCGTCAGACCTCTTCCAGACCGGGGGCTGCATTTAGCGGGACGGGGCAAAGCGACACAAGACAGCAGCACATTTTTTCGATTGGAGATCGTCCTGCCAGTGACTAAGTCCAAGGAGAGGCATTTCGCCCATTTAGAATGGGCAGGGGAATGTGCATGAAGCTGGAAAAAAGGCCGAAGCCTCCTGGGGTTCAGGACCCCAGGCAGTCCAGATCTAGACAGCAAGCTGGGGTTCAGCATCCCTGATTTAAAGATCACTGAAATCATTTTCCTTGGCTCAGACATGGCCAAATTTTACTTATATCTCTATGTAAAGAGCAATAGCCACAGCATCTCTATTCCAAACAATCCTATTTCTCTTGTGCTAGGAGTTCCATTTTATTTATTAGATTTATATCCCACCTTATTCTTTTTAAGAAATAGTGACTTACATCCTTCTCTTCCTTCTACTCTCAGTCTTATCCCCACAGCAAGAACCCTGTGAGGTCGGCTGGGCTGAGAGTCTGTGACTGGCCCAAAGTCACCCATTTGGCGCCATGGCTGAGCAGGGACTAGAACCCAGATCTCCTGAGTCCCAGTGCCATGCCCTTAACCACTACACCACACTGCCTCTCAGTGTTATCTTGCGCTTTAATTTTTCCAAGTCCTGCACAGTATGCAGAATGCAAGTACCATACCCCCTCCAAAGAGCATCTCATTGTTTCCCCAGTTCACTGGCAGAGTTAAGATTCCAATGGCTGTTTCCACTCTGCTTGCTGCACAAGAGGGGTAAGAATGCACCTCTGCCAGGAACTTACCCAAGCGGACTAAGGAACAACTTGATGCTTGCAGGCAATTTGGGGAAAAAAAACGTGCTCAGTTACTTTGTTATTGTGAATGTACCTTTAAAAAGTCTGTTGATGATGATGGGCTTGTCACCATGGACTGAGCCTTTCCCACCTTCCAAACTGAAACCTAAGCCAGCAGACGTCTTCTCCAGTGTCACGGTCAGGATCAGGTCTTCAGATGCTGTGACCAGACAGAATGTTGTCAAAAGGCTGCAGCTCAGGAGCAGATCAAAGAAAGACCCCAGGTTCACTCCAGGGAAAGATTCTGGTCTGGAGAGTCACACCGTGACCAAGCCCCTCTAACCAGAGGTCCTCCAAACCTGGTGACTACAACTCCCTGTTGGGGTGGACTGGGGAAGGCTGGTACGGACCAAGACAATGCAATAGTGCTTGCAGGCATGTCCAGTGATGCCGGCAAAGGGGTTCCCGGGGTGGTGCCTCTGGGCATTTAAAACATCTCTTCGTATTATTTGTCCTTTGCAATGGACACACAATGCACGAAACTTCCAAACAATTATGCTTAGGCCCAGCAAAAGTGGGCCAAATATTCAAACAGGCATCCGTTTGAAGGTGGCATCTCTACGCCACCCATTCAAATATGAAAATCTCTGTAAGGTCCTCAGTCTGTTACATAGAAGTGGTGAGTGTTTATATGTCCAGTGTTTCGTATCAGTCTTTAAGTTGTCATGTGGGCACAGAGCATCCATTTATGCTATTGGTTAATTTCCATGAAGGGGGTAAATAATTTAAAAGAACCGGGCAAGACTGACTGCAGAAGACCGTAAAATTAAGGAAGTTTGAAGGCAGAAGAAGAGGAGGAAGACAAAACCTGAGATGCGTCGATTCCATAAAGGAAGCCACATCCATGCGTTTACAAGAGCTGACTAGGGCTGTCGAGGACACGACATCCCAGAGGACACTCATGCATAGGGTCAGAGATTACTTGTCAGCACATAGCAACAACCGCTCCTCAGTGAATCTGAAAGACTGCTCCAGCACCCGTGCTTTTCCGTGGAATAGCCTCGTTCCCAAAGAAGCTGCTACCAGACATTGCCTACGTAAACGTGTCTTTAAAGGAAGACTCTGTTGCATTGTGCCGCCAGCAAGGTAAGCTATCCCTTATTAAAGAGAGGTTGTGGAGCCCAAAAGGCACAGCACAACAGGGTTTTTCGATAAATAAGGCATAGACGTGTGATCCACTGATTAAGCATTTTGTGCTGGTGCCTACAGCCGTCGCTCAAATTCCCCGTGTCCCTGCTACAAAGAGGCTGCACAAAGGTGAGAGGGCAACACCGAGCTAAGTGCCTGACTCAGTATTCAGTCACTTCTTCCGCAAGGGAAGAGGCATCCTACAGTGGCAGAACAGGTAGGGAGCACACAGGAGCCTGGCATGTCTGGGAACGGCTGGGGAAGACCATGCTTGACAGCCCCTCCAAGACCAGAGCTGTGCCCCCACGGGCACTGCTCCCGTCTCCTGTGTCCCTGTACTCCCAGTCTGAGGGTTGTTCCTCCCTCAGCAGCTGCTGGCCTGCTCAGAGTTGCTGCACCCTAAGCCTCGTTCCCAAATGGTGCTCACCGGAGTCTGTTGAAGTCTCGCCTCCCGTGAAGGCAGGGGACTCGGCAGGTGCACCGAGGCCGCTCTCCCTCTCTTGTGGTTTTCTTGTGACGACAACGGCCTGCCTTGGGTGCCGGGCCTTGCGCAGGTTCTCCAGCGCTTCCGCGTGGGTTGCACCTTTCAGAGACTTCCCGTTGATGGATAGGACTTCGTCTCCTTTCTGAATGGTTCCTGCCTGGGATGCCAGTCCACTGGAGAAAACCCTGTGGATCTAGTGAGAAAGCGTATCTGCATCACCCCAGCTCAGACAGAAAGGTGGTTTTGGGCTTAACATTTCTGCGTATCTGAATCACTTATTGAGTAGACAGGTAAGTGAGACACAAGCATCATTTAAAAAAATAAGTAAATAAAGGCCTTTTCTTTCTAAAGTGGTTTGGTGGCCTACAAGCTTCCTAACCCAGGGTAGCAAATCTTTTCACACTCCTGCAAAAAAATAGATTTGAAATGGAAGGGTTTGCAAGAGGGCTAATTAGCAATATCCCTGCCTGAGCTATTTTGCAGCCTGCAGCAAAAGACTCCCACACCAGCACAGCCCCATTCAGTCACCAGGACTGGCCTTCACTTGCCCCCAAAAGGATGCCACCGAAAGAAGCCTGCCTTACCACGACTGGTTGCCAGGGAAAAGGGGGCAGGGCCAAAAGAAGTGACCTGGGAGGCCAGACGGAAACTCTGGGCAAGTCGAAGCTGCCCTGGCTGAGGAGCCACACATGGCTGCAAACTGCGGCACCCCCCCCCCCCATGAGCCCTCTCCTGGTCAAGGACGGAGCCCGCAGGCATGTCTGGGTGTGCTCCCCTGCACTTTTGCTCTCCTCACCTGAGTGCCAGGGCACACACATGGCTGGGCAGAGAGAGAGGAATCCCTCTGAGAATGCTTCGGATGATCCCTCCCATCACTTGCTCCAACACAGCCGGTTCAGGAGATAAGATCAGAGTGTTGTGTTATGCTACCTTCCCTTGTTGATCTTAACAGCTCACATCCTTGCAGGCTGTTGCTTTCATTACCCAAAATTTGTTGTATACCTTAAAAGCAGGTGGGCAACGCTGGGGGAACCAATGGGGGTTGCAGTCTAGAAGCGGCCCAAGCAGGGCTGGGGCCAAAAGCAGGCTGGGGCACTCCCCTCTCCCTCCCTCCTCCCACATCCAGCAGTTTCCTGGGAAGAAATGGGTCGCTCTGAACTGATTGTTTGCAGAGGAGTTTTCAAATTATGCAGGGAGGTGCCCGGCCCTCCTTTCCAATGAGAGTCTGGCAGAACAAGAACACTCACGGTAATAGCTTTGTTTTCCAGGTCGACTCCACCAGCCAAGCTGAAGCCAAGCCCAGCTCCTTCTTCTTTGTGCAGGACTGTCACGTGGATGTTGCTGAGTTGCTGTGGCGTGGAGGAAAGCAGAGAAATCTTGGTCGGTGGGCAGCAGGCGCCCAGGTGCCCGGAGTGGGGCAGGCCTGCTCCACTCTGAACAGAGGAGGGAATTCAGCCTGAGGTGGCTCTTCTCAGGACAGCAGCACTCCGGCATGGCAAGTGTCGCTTGCTGCCATCCCCCTTCCACAGCCACGAAGGAGCAGCAGCCCTGCCCTCCAAGGCCAGGTCACGCCAGGCATAAGGACCATCGCACAGAGAACGTGCAGGCTCGCAGGCCTTTCCACCTAGCAGCACCTGGCGCTTACTGGTTCCAGACAATGTGTGAGACTACAACTACCACCATCCCTAGTCAGCATGGCACAGCTCAGGATCATGGGGGCTGTAGCCTGACACATCTACAGGGTGCGAGGTCTGGGAAGGCTGTAAGAGGGCTGCACTGCTGTCTGGCCACGGTACACACAGGGCTCCAGCACTGTTGTGTAGGGTCCTTTTTCCCCTTGCTGGGTGTCCCTTGTCTCTTGGGGTGGGTAAGCCCCGGCAGGGAGAAAGACTGGGGCTGGAGTGCCGTCGCTCACTGGCTGTCCCACTGCGCTCCTGGGAACCCTCGGGGCACCCCTGGAGTTGGCCTGGGGCCATTCAAATGTCCCAGCCCACAATCTTAGTTCATACCAGGACACTGGCTGGAGAGCAACAGGCACGGGGACCTGGCACAACTCACGTGCTCTAGCAACGTGCTGGGCTTCCTAGCAGTTAGCATGGATGCGGAATCCATCCCCAGCAATTTTTGTTCAGGACTTCCCCAGCTCACACCTGCTCAACCGGGTATAGATCACGATACAATCTGTGCATGTTTCTGGATCTACGAGTACAGAGTGATCCATAGATGCCCTTCTCCAACAAAGAAATAAAAAGCATCCAGTAGCATCCATACATTTGAGAAAATGCACACAAATGGGAGAAGAATATGTACATTTCAAAGATCTATCAAAAAGACATGGCTTTATTAATTAATTTACTTATCTTGGCATGATTACTTGAGAGGAGTAATCGCTATGTCCAACAGAGCCAGACAAAGCTTTCTTCATGCTACCAAACCATACCATCTTTTTCTCCTTAAAATATTTGCAGAGGAGGCAAAATAATAGGACAGATGTGGGGGAAAAGATGGGTATGGATGGAATATCTGGATCCCTGCCCTTGCACTTCTGTAAAATATGGCAGGGCAATGGCACTCTAAAAGCACCATCTGGAGTGACACAGAAAATGCCCACCATTTCTGCATGTTTTAATGCTAAAATAAAGATATGCAACATCTCAGAAGAGGACACTGGGGCGGTTTTCACAAAGTGTTTTCTCCTGTTCAGAAACTGCTAAACTTGGGTCATCACACAGCAAGGTTTGTACTTTTTCAAAGCTCAGGAATGTACAGACTTCAACTACAACTCACATCTGAGCCCGTGCTCAGTCCAGCAGCTGTGAACTAGGTAAGATTCTCAACAAAACTGAATTGAAACAAATTTCTCATGCATCCATATTCAGTGGGAACAGGCAGTCATGCAGAGGAAACAGAACACCCAGTGCTAAGTGTCTGTTTCGACACAGCTATTAAAATAAAGGCACTCTGTCTCCTCCTCTTTTCCTGTCGAATTACCCCTTTGACCATTCATTTATAAACAACTCTTTGTTTTTCTCCCTGTTTACAAAGGAACACAAGCGAGCACACCTGCAACCTTTGCTCAGTGCACAGCCAGAGCCACCCCCAGGGACAACATTGTCACGCACTTGTGCATTGCCTACCCCCCAGCAGAGGCCACCTTGGTACCACTCTCCTCCTCCGGCCTGCCTGTCAGCTGTGCTCCCGCTCTGAGCATAGGAGCAGGGAAAGCGAAAGGGAGCAGCCTCCACTTACTTGCACACTGATTCTGAGCTGTGGTGAGGATCGGGCCCAGAAAGGCCGGGCTAGCCAAGGGCAGTGGTGAAGCGCAACAGGCCAACTCAGGGAAGGAAACCACCGTGAAAAACTTGCCAGCACTGGTCCCAACCCAGCAGCTGAAGGCCAGCCGATCTTGGGGAACCTGAAAGCCCCCAAGGAAGCGACTCACCTTTAGCGTTTCCTCATCTAAAGTTTTCACCTCCTCCATAAGTTTCCCCAGTTCTTCTGGAGTGAGCAGAGAGATGACGGCCTGCCCTGCAGCGCCCAGTGTTGGAGGCGAGCGGTGCTCTTGCTTGCCTTCCTCTTTCTCCTTGTCTGACCAGCACACGCTGTAATCCCGCAGCTCTGAAAGACTAGCCAGTTTGGAAAGAGGAAACAAGAAATGCTGAATGGTGATGGCAAACTCGCACTGGGTTTTGTTGCGTGCCATGGGCAGTTTCAGCATGCTGTCGTGGGGTTTTTTTGGCCCACCCAATTCAAGGAATGGGCTACTGCAGATCCTCTTTACTATTAGTTTATTGTTCAATTCCCAGAATTCTTTGGACCTGATTCACACAACATGGCCAAGCATGTGTAGCCATCAAGTTGAATATGCAAGCCCTGCCTGGGCCCAGGAGTGTGTTGTATCATGTGAAGTCAGCCATCGTGGCTTATACAAAGGGCAAACAACCTTTGCATAGTAATAGGGTTATGTGAGCGTTGCTTGACCCTCACATAACCCACAATGGCCAGGTTTACACGACACTTTACAACTCCCAAATGTATATTCATAATATTCACTACATTCACTGTGACTTAAATAGCTGGTGGTGTCAGAGGACTAACGACATCTTATTACCCTAACTGACTTTTGAAAAGCCTCAGAAGGAAATAGCCCACCAAACTCGACACCCTCTCAATCACAAATGGCCTTTAAAGAGTAAGAGGTGGTGGGAGGGCAGCCTGGATTGAGACCCTGCCATGATGGTAGACAAAGGGGCTTTAACCCTTTGCCCCACTGCTGCCCAATTTGCCCCAGGGCAGGGGCAGAATTCCTGCCTTCTATTTGTACTAAAAGGAGAGCTCCTGTTTCTCATCAATAGGAGCTTTCCTTCCAACACAAGGAACAGGAATGGGGCTGCAATTCCGTGCAGAAAGACAGCACCACCTGCTGACTTTGGGTTGGATCCATTTTAGCCAACTCAGCTACCCGCTACCCATGGCACTGGGCATCTTTCACCCCAGAGTCTGGATAACATCTCAGAGAAGTTTTCAGGAAACACACAGCAGTGTGGGGAGAAGCAGAAGGCAAAGTTGTGGGGCCCAAGCATATTGCCAGCATATTTTCCCTTAAAGCTCCTCCTGCCAGCATTTAAGCCTTGGGAGCTGCATTCCAGAATTTAGGATATGCAAAACTGTGCAAGAGCTGGGAAACCACTAAGCAATGGCTAAATTGCGGCAGGGGAGTGTTTGGCCAGGTCAAGGGGGCATGGCCATCTAGGCGCCCCAGAGGGCCAAGCCTGGACCCCCAGAGAGCCAAATCTTCCTAAGTTGTGGATCCTTGCTGTAAAACAACTGATGAGTTTAAGGGACTTATTGATAAGAAATACATACTGATGAGAGCTGAAATGTAACAAGTTGAAAAATGCCAGTAAGCCTTACTTGAGAGAAAAGCTGGTGTCTGGAGAGGGAGTTTCGCTGGCCTGCAGGAGCGGAGCCCCCCTTTCTTCTCTGTAGGATGTTGGTGACCCACCGTGGGACCTCCCTGAGCTTTTCCGAGGACACGGTGGAAACTGAGGAAGGGAATGCAACGATTTCATCAATGCTGATGAGAAGTGGTTGCTGATGGAATCGATTTTGCTGTATTCTTCTCCACTGGTTTTCAGCATCTCGCAAGACTGAGCTGAGCTAAGTGGGAAGCTCCGTGCTCTTTTGCTCGGCGTTTTCGTGACTTGGGGGTCGGGTTCCATGCCTTGCAAAGGTGGCAGATTCAAAGGAGATTTCACAGGGGTGCTGCAGTTTGCCTCTGCGCTCAGGGCACTTTCGTCTCTGGAGAAGCAGGCAGAATCCACATGGCTGGCATCTAGGTTTGGCAGGAGGTGGATGCTTTCCGTACTCTGATCATCCACGTTGCTGGCAGAAGCTTGGCTAAGATTAACCATAAGAGGTACTGGCTCCCTCCTGCTGGGGGATCCATCTTTCTGAATGGACAACTTTGGGCTAAGTTTTCGGCTTGCATTTTCAGGAGACTGAGAACCGCCCAGACTTTCAAAGGAGCTGATTCGTTGCTTTATCGACGATCCCCGAGGTGAAGCTCGAGTGATCTTGGAAGTGGAGCTCAGTTCATTGTCAGACACACTTTGGTGGTGGTCAGAGGGGCTTTTGTGTGCATCATCCGAATTTCCTTTCTTCAAGCCTTTTAGGCTTTGACGAAACCAGGTCGGCTTAGGTGCTACTGGTGGCCCTTTCTTCACAAAGTCACCGTCATCAGATGACTTTGGTGCTTTCGTATCCGCCTCTTCTGCATCTGATCTCTGCAGGGCTTCCTTCGGGCAGCTAGAGGCAGGACTGCCTTTATTGATTGTGGGGTATAAACTTAAGGAGCAGCGGTCTTCTGCCATGCTAGGGTTAAATAAGCTTTTTATGCAGTCAGAAATTCTGACCCAAGGATCATCAGGTGTAGCCTCAAGGCTATAATCCACCTTTGCTTGTCTTCTGAGCACAGGCCTTTGAGGAGATGTAACAGATTTCCCTGGATTGAGATGATGGAATGAAAGCAGGTTAATCTGGCCAGCAACACGTCAATTTTCCCTATATGGTCATATGTGAACCTTCATATTGGGAGGAAAGTTTGATCCACAATCAACAAGGAGCTAACAAGCAACCGCGCCTTGTTCACTGCACTGCATGTGCCAGTCCCATGATGGAGAGATCTGCATAATTGCCCTCAACGGTGTGGCTTGTCCTGTTCTGTGAAACAGGCCATGGTGGCTTGTTATCATGGGCGGCAAGCCACCCAGAAACAGCCCCTGGGTTCTGGATGGCTTGTGGCCTGGCTCAGTTCACACAGTAGGACAAGCCACATTTTCAGGCATCACTATGCAACTCCCCCCAGCATGGGACAGCTGAAGCGCATGCACTATCTACCGCCATTGCTTATGCACAAGCAGGTTTGCAGGACCCCCAAGGTTTTAAGCACAAAAAAGTTGAAAAACATTTTTGTCACAACAGTTGTCTGCAGTGGTAGGTCTTCTGTGCAGCTCAACAAAGGCGCAGGCAGGCCGATGGTCCTCTGGCACAGAAATGCTCTTTGCATGGAACACATTCCACATGCAGATGGTGCATTCATGCTCATGTTGTGGTGACAAGGCACAGTGCACTAGCCGAAGGAGTGAGCATTATGGAGAAGGCCATCTTCGACCATGATCCACTGACAACGCTCTGGAGGATTTGCAGTTGACTAGGAATGGCCATGGCCTGTTTAACAAGGACAGCAAGAAAATGACACCCACACACTCCAAAGAACAAAGAATGTGGAGGCAAGTTTGTGGAGAGTAGGGATGGGTTGCTGTGTGGAAGGGCGCCATTCAGTTCTGTGATTCAAAGCTGAGGCTCACATTGCTTTTTGTGTCATGCTCCAGTTGGTGGATCTCAATATTCTAGTAAAAAACCCAGCACCAGACCTCACAACCTCCTGATTCTGTGTCTTAATTGTTGCTGTCTACTATCTGATTATACCTCAATTGCATGCAGCTTTACTCAGATACAAGCTCCACTGGGTGTTATGAAATCTTTCTCCCTCTTGCATCAACTTCTACATCTATTCTTCATGATCACATTCCAATTTTGTAGCAAAATATCTCTAGGTATGAGTCCCTGTGCATCTAAGGTTAGCTGTGACTACGGCTGTGCCTTAGAAAGTTCCACAGAGCTCAATGGAGCTCACTGCTGGGTAGAAATGTCTAAGACTGCACAGCATGGATGCAACCTTGCCCAGGACCAAGTCTCATTGAAGACACTTTCTCCCAAGCAACCAGGCATAGACTTGTGCCTTCCTGCCAAAAGCAACAGGTCTCTGCATGCTTTCTCAGATGTAAGCCCTATTGAGTTCCGTGGGATTTACTCCTGGGCAAGCAAGCATGCACCAAACTGCAGTCTTTGTCATAACCAGCCATCACTAACTCAGGACATAGAACTGAAACTTCAATGCTAAAAAAAAAACCCTGAGCATTTCTGCTGCAGAGCACTCCGTGGAAGAGGTTGAAATGGAAGGCACAATTGCACAGAACAAAACGTACCTTTGCTGGCCTTTCTTTCTTGGTCCACGGCTCCTAGGCAAGAATTTGACTGCTCTGTAGCTCTTGCTGCTGAAGAATCTGTGAAAGCACCGTGGGTTACAACACTCAGGTTTCTCTGCTGCAGCCGGTCGCTGGCTTCCTGTGGCATAAACAGGAAACGCAAGTGTGACTAGCTCACTTGCACAAACTGCATCTGTGCACTCATGCTGCCCAACCTAGAATACTAGTACAACATCTTTGGGGGACTCAGAGAGAATACGCGAATGATTAAATCTGACAAAGAATGAACTGATGGATTGAGATGCATAAATTGCTTTTTAAAAGAAAATCATCCCAACATGCTGCACAGAACCATAACACTCAATAGAACAATGGCAAAATCATAAAGCAATCATAAAATCAAAATTAACAATTAATACCGGATAACACCATGTTCACAGTGGCATCCAATGAGGCCCAAACTTAAGTTCAGGCCACTGCAAAGCATTTATATCCTGCCTTTCTTCCTGTTGCTGGAACTCCAGAGAGCTTCTCCTGCTTGACACTTCATCCTCACAACAGCCCTGACAGGTAGGTTAGTCTGAGAGTCAGTCACAGGTCCACAGCCAGCCGGTGGGCTTTGCAGCTGAGAGGGGACTAGAACCCAGATCACCTGATTCCCAGTCCAGCACCAAGGGTGTGGTGGCCAGAGCCTTTGGGGGTTCAGAGCAGCCCCACTTACTTTGGAGGGGGCCCTCAGGGGGGTTGCTGGATCCCTGCCTGGTCCTCCCCCACCACCTCTCAAGAGACTTAATTTGACTGGTTCATGGCCGGCAGCTGCCACTGTGTTGGAGACCTGAGTTTAATGGGGTAAGAATGGGGTGTTTTTTCAACTGTTCCCAACCGATCCTGGGAACTCCCTCTCTGGAGAGGCTGGCAGACAGACTCACGAGTTTTCTGTGACACTTTCCCTCATGGTCACTTTCCCTCATGTACGTCAGGTTTTTAGATAGTCAGCCTGTGGGCAGGAACTGCTTATTAGTAAGCCACTCTGAGAGCTTTTTGGCTGGAGAAAGGGGTACCAATGTAATTTTAAAAAATCATTCATTCATCCATCCATTCAAAATAGAGAATAACAATAACTTCTAGGTGCTGTCATTGTTTCACCTCAAAAAGAGATCCCCTTGTCTTGCATTCATTACTCAACAGAAATTCAGACAAAGTGGCCAAGCTCATTTTATTGTATAATCATAGGCTGCATAATCTTGGAAATGGGCATGGCCTGGGGGGCGTGGCTTTGAGGTGCAGCTCTGACTATTGTGGAGGGACCGCCCCCCTTCGGTGGGAACAGAGTCCCATAAGCGGGTTCTCTTTGGCTTGCGTGGATGTGCCTAGAGTTGCACTGTAAAAAGGCTGCTGTAGGAAGGCTTTTATGGCCTTTTATTCTTTGGGATTGATGTGCACCTCTGCAGAATTTTGCTATTGGACAGACTGAAAATATAAGTTAATTTCAGAATGCTGAAAGCCCAAGATAACAACATGAAAGCTTGGGCCCACCTTTCAGAAGTATAAGCTAAGCCCACGTGCTTCCACATCTCCCCACCAAATTCCATCCCTAAATCCAAAGGATAAAACTTATTCTGATTTAATCAAAGCATTTCCTGGGCAAAACTAATATTCATGAATATCTATGAGTAAATATTTGGAGATAGCAACGGGAAGGAGGCGGAAGTCCTCAAGCCACCCCTGCCGTTTTATACATAAGTGACCTTTCGCATTTTATTGTTCTAGAAAATGTGGTACTTTCCTGCTGCTGATTTTATCCATTTCTCAAGTTTTGCATATTTTGCTTGGTACTTTCTGTCTCTAAGTTTATGCAACCCAAGGGCACGAGCTACTTCCTTTTTCATAGCAAACATACAGTTCTGCAACCACCTTTAAACTCCCCACACTTATGCAAATATGCTAGTATAGTGCAATTAGAGCATTTTTTAAAAAAATCAGTACTTGTATCAATCTCTCCTTAATTCCTATATCCTAATAGGGAATCATTTCTCAGAATGTTAAAAAATTAATAGCCAAAACGGAAGCATGGCCAAAGGAAGAGGAAGCATCACCAGCCTCCGAGGAAGCCATGCTGTGCAGTAACACAAAATGGAGGGGTGGGGGCACTGTCAGGATCGGCACCACCCTGTGGCTCCACCAACAGAGTCCCAGCAGAGGGCAGAACGAGGGCCCCAGCTCTCTGGATCTCTCAGATCCTAATGGGACCTGGGCGAAGAGCTATATAAGAACAGGCTCCTCCCTCCACCCTTTGCCTCGCCAAGGAAGACACTTCCCAGCTTCCAGTAGCTGCCTGCGTCCCTGCTCTGCTTTCCCGGCCCTTGCCTTCCTGCCTCTTAGACCTTCGCCTCTTCCCACCCGTTCCTGCTCTGCCTCACCTGCTGTTCCTGCACCCTCCTCATTATCCTGCTCCAAGGTGCCACTTCCCAGTTCCTGACCTCTGGTCTGCTGCTCTGACCACGTTCTTGTCTACTGGACTACCCCTTGCTCCACAGCCCACCTCTGCTTTGACCTTTTTTTCAATATTGTGTACCTACACACATACATGTACACACACATCCATCCAAACATAGAGATGTTCTTAGTTACTTTATTATCACTGCATTATTATCATTATTACAATGTTGTATTGTGTTTAAGATGTTTTAGTGAATATGGAAGTGTTTCTTAAGTGTTTTCTATGCATAGAAAGGAAAAATATATACATGCACTAAGACAAACATTTGGCTTGCTTATGTGATCTGAGCAGGATCTGACCTGATCTTACATACAAATCCAACTTAAGGGCATTCTCAGGGACTGACCTCATCTGTGACCTGGGGACTACCTGCACAGAAATGCAATCCCAGTGAATTCCACCCACGCCTTCTGCTTTTAAGAAAAGCACGCGTGCGATGGAGCCACCGCAAACTCAGTTCCCCCACTGCTCCTAATGCTTGCTGCTTCCATGCACCAGGAACCAGGCCAGCCCTACCAGCAGGCAGAGCGAGGTGGCTGCCTCAGGCACCAGATGTTGAGGCTCCCCCAAGCTAGCCTGCTGCCCAAGGCGTGGCAGAAGCCAGCATCCTAGAACCAGTAGCAAAGCGAGATGCACCGGTCAGTCCAGCCAGCTTCTGTTCATGGAATGGGGAGAAGACACCATTTTGCCTCTTGCTTCAGACAGCAAAACAATATCTTGAGCTGGACCTGACCGGGAAACCTGCTCACCTGAACATCTGAAGAAGCCAGGCTCCCCTCTCCTGGCGGTGGGGGCTTCTCATTCCTCTCTCTGTTAGCCTGCTCACCCTCGGTGCAGTCTTGCTTGAAATACTTTCTCGGTGGTGGCTTGGGCTTTGACGAGCGAGGCTTTCTAACAAGGATCTCTGCAGATCGTTTTGTGTGATTTAAGGAAAGCTGCGCAGCGTCTTTAAGAATCGGTGGGGAGGTGTGCTTCTCCAGGCTAGTTCTGGAGGAGGAAAACATGGAAGCCGGCTGTCTGGTCACTGGTACATCAATGCTGTGTCCTTTTGCATTCATGTCAGCCAGCTGGTAAGCAAGACCGTTTCCACAAGAGGACCTGGGATTGTAACTGCCGTCGCTGCTGGAACGGATCATGAGCTTTTGGGAGCGATGGTTCAGATGAGTGGCCACCTTCTCGGAGTATTTCTCACATGGGGATTTCTTATGCCAACTGCTTTCCAGACTTTTAATGCCTGCTTTTTAAAAAGAGCTTTTTCAGAGTGGGGGAGGAACATCACAGTATTGAAACCTTCGATGAACTAGTTCCCTGTGCCCAACCAAGGGAGCGAGGGAGGGAGAAGGAGTTCGCTCAAGCACCACAGTGGCCTTCCCTTCCGTTTGCCCAAGTTACATGGCAGGCAGGAGTGGCAGATTTATTGATAAATTTACAGATTTATTGATACATTATCATGCAAATATGTATGCCACTTTTCATTAAGTCATCAGGACAGGGCACATACAATGTCATAGTTGCTGAAATATAACCCTAAAACACAGCATTAAATATGAAATAATGAGTAATTAGCGACAAGGTTGCATACAGTATTAACTGCTAATTAGCAATAAGATTGTGTACATCAGGCAGTATCTAGGCAAATCACACCTCAGGGAAGGCGGAGATGACACAATCAGGAAGCTGCAATTCCAAGAGAAGCAAGCTAGAATACCTTGGATGAAGTGCACTGAAATGCCTCCTGACCACTAGGCAATGCTACCAGAGTTGCCTTCCATTTATTTTTCTTTTTACACAGCACACATCTAAAATCCATCTTCAACTTGGCTAATATTAAAAACTGCCATGCCTCTTTGACTTCTGTTCTCTACTTCCCAAGAAACCTTTACATTTCACTTATGGCTGGAGACCAATCCAAGTAATTGTGTTGTGTTGTGCTATGCTATGCTATGCCAGGGAAAATGAGGAGTAAGTCATGAGAAGTTTCTTTCTCCCAGCAGTTCTAGATGAGCGATTTGCCCCAGTGGGAGACGGGATTCTGGGCTAAATCGGTCAGGGATCCCCAGCTCTGGGCATTGACGGAAATCTGGGAGTCCCGCGGCTGTGATAAAATAGTTCCCGTGGGGCTTGGCTGGCCTTCGTAAATGCAGCTGCTTCCCTGGGTGTTGCCAGACACGGAACACTCGGTTCCCAGAAGGCAAACTGACCATTCTTTAAGAAAAGCAACTGGCTGAATAACCAAATGGCAAGGCCGAGGTGTGGGTTGAGCTCTAAAATCTGAGTCCCTCCCAGATCTTTGAATCCAAAAAAAGCCATCCTGCGCTATGTAGCATTTCAACTTCCCAGTTTAAAAAATGAAGTGTTTAAAAAAACACTCAAGGAAAACCAAAATTCAGGAGGGCATGGAACCTGCCAGCTGCTACGAGAGGTGCCCTGAGGCACCTGGGCACCCACGGGTACCATGCAGGCAGTCCCAGATTCGTGTCTTTGGTCTCAACCAACAAGGCTCTACTACTATTCTTACTAGCATATTAAATTCTCAACGCCTCTACCCAAGAGATGCCCTTACCTTCCGCACTCCACTGGTACTTCTCTCTTTCAAACCTGTTGCTTTCCACCGCTTGTGAAATGGCCTCCTTTAGCTGCTGTTCAGAGACCTAGAAAATGCCACAGGTTACCATCTCATTCTGGAAAAGCTTCAAAATTGGCAGCCCCTCTGAATTCCCTTCTCACATCAGGAAGAGCTTGGAAGAACTTTCCAAGTTCTTTCTTGGAATGTTGTTCCAAAACATTAGCAGTAAATTCTGGGGGTACTTCAGATAGAGGGCTGCTAATCAAGAGGCATTCTGCGCCTTTCCTTTCTTAGCTGTTTTTATTTATTTTTACTGTAGTTTGGGGGTGTCATGAAGAGGTGGGTGACGACCTTCTTCTCCCTGCAGTGGACGGCAGGATGCGTTCCAGTGCAGCAAAGCTCAGGATTCAAGGTGGATGCCAGAAAATACTTTCTGAGGGTTAGGACCCCCAAGTCCTAACTTAGCTCTGTGAAGTGCCCAGAACTTGATGATGCTTGAGCAGCCAGCTCACCTGTGGATCGGGATGCCTGCTGATGATGATCTGCACAGGGCCAGGACTGCAGCGGCTTAAAACTGCATGGACCTCATTCAGGCTCATGTTGTGAACTGGCACCTCATTGATTTCCACAACTTCATCTCCACACCTTCAAAGAGGGAAAAAAATGCCAACACCCCTCAACACATCTTCTGCTCCAGCAGAGGACTTCTTGGCCCTCTGATTATTTTTCCTTACTGATGTTAATCTCGATGGCTTCAAGCAGATAAGGGACCACTGAGGCTGTACTTCTCCCTGCCTTCCAAGCAGACAGAGACAAGGGCTTTGAACTAAAAGCTGCCTTGGGTTAATGCAAGCCACTCCAACTGGCTTAAAAATACAAAGAAAGCATGTTGCAGAGTCAGTTACAAAAGAAACTCAGGCAGATCCATTAGCAGGAACTTGGCCTCCCTCATATGACCAAGACTCGCCTCGAAGGCAGATCGTTTAAAACACCTGATGCTTCTCGCCCTCGGAGCTGTCATGGCTGATCCACCACCCGCCCACGCCCATTAGCAGCACAAAGCCCACATCCTCCTGGTCCCGCACTGCCTCATGAAACATCTCTGCCTCACTGCATGGGTGAAGGAATCCTCCTGTGAGTTGACCCACACTGATGTGTTGCTTGCAGCATGTCACAACGGCATTATGATTCTTGGGCGCTCTATTAGCTCCTCACGTTGAGCTTGCACCAAAACGTGACAGCCTTAACTCTGATCTTAAACTGGCAGTGTTTTTGATCATTGAATAGTCCTGATTTTTTTAAAAAAGGAGATTAATTATAATGTTCTGAAAACAACTACAAAAGATAAAAACTCTAGAATATGCATGCACATGAATGCACTGGCAGGGCTGAATAGATGCATACAAACAGATAGATCTGCGCCTGCCTTTTCAAAGGAATTCGGCACAGTATTCCAACATTTCTCCCCCCTGCCCCCCCGTCTCAGTGTGATCTATCAATTGGTAAGCGTGGTCTCCCCTCAGCCTTTAAAATTCCCTCACTCAGCCGTTTCCTGCCACTCTTCTCCCATGACTGAGAGGAGCAACGGAATTCAAAACATTGGAGTAGTGACAGTGTTCTGGCTTCAGACTGAAACTGAGCATGCCAGCAGAAACCTTAATAACTTTGGAAGTGCTGGCAGAACTCCAACAAACCCCTGAAAGAAAATACGATAGCAATATATGATATGCTAAGCCACAGGTTGGAGCAAAAAGTCTAAACGTATCGATTTTCAATCGCTTTGACCCTTTATTGTAGACATAACTAGGTAAACCACAGATGCTATTATTCCCAGTTGTCATTCTTATAATCTGGAGAAATTTGAGGCTTGTATTGTTGGCAGAACCCTTGTGTGTGTGAGAGACTCATCTTAACTAAACTTAACTGACCTGCAAATATGCCTGTTCTCACTTTTATGCATCGTGAGCCTGTTATTGCTTTCACATTCTCTGCTTTCTCTAAACTTTCTACTGAGACTTCTTTAGCAAGAAACAGACCTGCAACACAAAGACTTCAGCAGATGCGTTGCACCCACAATTTCCTTCCTGCTTGCTGCATCTGACATTTCCCTTGGGTTGGGTATTTAAGTATGGAAGACAGAAAGAGCAATATCACATAAATTTACCTTTCTTGTGTGTTGCTTTCCTTTCAGTTAGTTATGTTACAAAATGAAAACTTCGTAATATGCCATTAAGGGCCTCAGGGCCACAGTTCAAATGCAAAACAAAAACAAAAAGCAGGGGCTTGCTTGGAAGATGAGCTTGTAGAACAAGAGATGGATAAAGAAATCTGACTTTGTTAATCAGGGGATCAGAAGGCTTCTGTGTGTACCATAAACACTGTTAAGAATGTGATCCTATGCATGTTTAGATGGAACATGCAGGGACTGGCCCAAAGCCACCAGTGAAGCTCATGGAACCCAGATCTCCCGAGACCCAGCCCAACACGCCAACCATTGTGTCACCCAGGGAAATAGATCTTCCTTGGTGAAGAACTCTTTTGTCTGTCGTATTTCCCTTATGCATTGCCTCTTTTCCTGTGTTATAACTGGAGTTTCCCATTGATGTACAAATCAATAGCTATACCTTGCACAGGTATAATGATGCAATCATTGACATATCACCAGGTCAGAGAAATTTCCTCTTTCCAGATTTCCTCTTTTCTGGAAATCAGCATGGATGCATCCTGGAAATGTCCAGAGAAAGCTCGCTGGCACTTGGCAGATAACGGCAGCTCAAGTAAAGGGCAATTCACACCAGCCCAGCCCAGCCCAGCCCAGCCCAGCCCAGCCCAGCCCAGCCCCTTCCTCTTCCCCCTGCAACAGCGCCTCATCCTTCCCCGTCCTTCGGAGCATCTTCTTTGCTATGCAAGTGGGAAAGGCCATGCCATTGCACCTTTTAACTTCTGTAACCTGCTGGAAAGTCTTAACTGTGTTACGTGTAACCCTTTGAACGACTGATGTATAAAAGAGCCAGCTGAAGACTGCTCAGATGCACCATCTGGAATGATTCACTGGTGGCTGGCTATTCTTGAGAATAAATCTTCTAAAAGAAAACCTCCTCCTCTTGTGTATTTTGGGCTTACCACACCAGGACACGGACCTTTTGGTCAATACCAATTTTTAGCTAGAGGCTTCAGCAATCTGCCTTTTAATAGATAGGGATATTACACACACGTATCCACACCACACACACACACACAATACCATGGTTTCTCCATGGAGAACCATTTACTGTTTTCTATACATTCATGGGTAATGATTGTGAGCCGCCTAGAGATGCCATGGCATGATAGACGGCATATAAATGTAACAACATTTATTTACTTACTTATAGCATTTCCACACCATTTGATTACCATAATGCTTTCAAAATGGTTTACAACAGTTATTTGCATATAATAGACAATTTTCAGGAGATGGATTGCTTTGGATTGGGCAACCTTGCAAGACAGGGCTGGCCCAGCACTTCCCTTTGTTGGGCAAAGCCAAAAGATACTTGGCCATGGGAACCAAAGGCCAATTGCTTCTCGAAACAGGACCAAGGAGAGAGAAGAACTTTCCCTACCACTACCGGCCTGCTGAAGATGCTGTAATGCAGTGAGATGGTCTGGACTTCATAAGCACTGAGGCCAGAAATGCCACCACTGGGAGAAGTGGGGTGAGCAAAGCAACACGCAAATGAAATGATGAACTCTTGACATACCTGAGTCTTCCGTCCATATGAGCCACAGAGCCAGGAGAGAGGGCGTGGATGAATATTCCGGAAATGCACTGGAAATAAGGGATGCTGCATAAACCAATGCCCAAGCCCACACCAGCCTCTGCGGAAGATACATTAGAAAGAATCAAAACAATGATTTGATCTGTCCATAAGTCACTAGGTGCAACTTTCCAGGCACCTTCCAGCTCTATGAACTTTTGAAAATAAATTTGTTGCTTCTCTTTCCTTCTAATTCTCAGATCCACCTCACATGCAAAAACAATTTCTCTTTGAAATATTGCAGGTGACGCTGGAACAAGACATCAGTGTTCATATTAAGGATGCAAGATAAATTTGTTTCAGATACATTTTGATCAGACTTTACCCTGCATGTACCTTCCAAACCAAGCACAGGCTCAGACAAGATCTGTGGTCAGGGTCTGTACATTTCCAAGCTTGCAATGTGATTTGTAGGTGAAAATGATTGTGTTCAACGACAGGTGCTCATTTGAAAAATGCACATGAAAAGGTGCATACTTTTCAAACATGCACAAATATGCACTTTAATCAATGGGACAAGTATGCACATATTTCAATGATGGTCACAACTGATGCACCTTTGGAAAAATGTGCACAAAAATACAATATGGCTATCTTTTCATGTGAAAAGAATAAAACACGCTCACAATCTGAAATGGAATTCAGTCTGAATGCATTTTGCTGACCTTGAGTTTTACTGATTAGCAGAATTGTTATCTAGCATCCAGAACTGACAATGATACCTCCTGGGGCCCACACTCTAGCTAAGGAGCTATTGGCAAAATCCTGGTCTTGCTACCCTTCCTCCAGGCCACCAGTTCACCTGTTCGCTCCAGGTTTTTGAGCACCTACAAGAAGAAGGAGGAAGAGGAGCATCCTCCCTTCAGTTGGGAAGTGACGTGGACTGGCCTGGAGAGAGTGAGAACAGCTGAACGGGCAGTGGTGATGGCAGCAAAGGGAAGGACATCTGGGCCAACTGACCACAGGGCCTGGCCATGGCTCTGTGCTCAATGAAAACGAGCATGAGGCAGCTGCTGAAACTGGCAGCTGTTCCTTCAGCAGCCCATCTTTGCCCAGAAACAGTGCAGTGGAAAGCAAGATGTCCGTCACCTGAGGAATGTAAGCAGGACCAAACTCCTTCTAGATGGGCACTCTGTTCCCGTAGGGCCCACTAGCCACCTCGGAGAACCCCTCGAAAGAGGGAAACCTTCCTGATTAGGTGTTCCAGCAACTGGTAAGCTCAAGCATCTTGATTCACGCTGTGGCGCCAAGTATCAACCGATACTTGGTGAAAGGAGAAGTGTGGAATTAAATGGAGCTTTATCTGCCCCAGCATGACTCTTATGTTCTTACTCCTGAGTAAATGTGCATTGAATTGTGCTGTGAATCCTGTACTTCCCCTTTGTAAAGACTGAAGAGTCTTCCATCCATCTGTTCATCCCCATATTCCTCTCCCTTTAAAGACCGTGTCTTCATAAATCAGGATTTCTAAAATTTGTTTTGGACCAAAACATCATTGAGGGTAGTGAAAAGAGAGCCAGTGTGGCGTAGTGGTGAAGAGCATGGGACTGGGACTGACGGCCTGGGCTCGAGTCCCCGCTCGGCCATGGAGCCACCTGGGTGACTTTAGGCCAGTCACAGACTCTCAGCCCAACCTACCTCACAGGGTTGTTGTTGTGGGGATAAGATGGAGGAGGAGAATGATGTAAGCTGCCTTGAGCCCTTTGTAGGAAAAAGGCAGGATATCAATCGATAAATAAATAAATAAATAAAATCAATTTGGCCAAAGCCTTCTAAAGAAAACTGGTGGTGTAGATTTTGCTTCACGTTGCTGAGTAACATTTAACACACTCTAAGTTGTAGTAAGAAAGTTGTTCTGGATTTTTATGCAAATTTTTTTTTTTTCATTTGCTGAATGAGTGAACCAGAAGCAAGACAAACTTTTGTGCAGGCTTTTAAAATGATGCAGAATCAGGCCACATAAGAAACAAACACAGGAAAGATGCAAACCAGGTGGAACTAAAACAGACAAGTCCATCCATCCCAAGCCCTCACCTTTATTTAAGGAAACTTCCATGATGACCCTGTCATTGGGGTTGGTGGCGTTCAAGGGAAAGGTGGCACTTTCGGAACCAAAGGAGCTGGTCTCCTTGGTGATGCACATGCTGGTGCTCAGGGAGCGGCAGAGATGGGAGGACAGGTAGCTAGCTGCCAGGTGGGGGGTGCTGAGGCTCGTTCGGACCGTGAGGGTGAGGAGACCTTTATTGGCCTGTGGAAGCAAGAAGGTCGTCAGATCGTCGCACTGCCTCTGGGCATGACAGGCATAACAAGAGACAGGCATCGGGCAGGAACACAACCTTGAATTTCTGCAGGGCTTCATGATGGGTGAGTCCATGCATCAGTTCCCCATTCAGTTCCAGGATTTCATCTCCTGCGAAACAGAAAGGCGATGCTCAGCACCAAACTGAAGTTCCGAACGGTTTTCCATTTCCAAAGTGGGTGTTAACTTAAACTGGCACACTGTCCGCAAACAGACTGAGATTCCCCATCCCTCCACAGGATTCTGAATGGTCAGACTGACTCTTTAAGGCAGCGGTGGACAGATCAGCCTTTCCCCCAGTCCATTTCCGTTTTGGGTGTGTTCTTTCCACTTTGTTTCCACATCCTTGGACAATTGCAAAGGCATGTGACAATTAATTGATATAAAAGTTCATGAGCATGTTTTGGTGCCTGTCCTGAGCTAAGAATGGCATTGTCACAACATGCAGAGAAGCCTCAAAGCAGAGAAATCCAGGGAGTGCGGGATCTGGCCCGTCCAGGAGGAGCTGCCATTCCGCAGCACTCTGTCCACACACTGCAACCCAGTTCCATGGGGACGTTCGCAGCACAGAGCCAGGTCTGGACTGGCACACTCAGCACGAGTCAGAAACTCTCTTGTGCCTCTCTCAGCACAGAGAAAGCAACATGGGCCCCTCTCGTCCCATTGCTTCAGTGACCGTGTTCACACCCAGCAATGGCAACTTGTTCACAGAGAATTCAGTTAAAATATGTGGGGGGAGGGATTTTGAGCCCCTTCCAAAAAGCTGTTCCCCACTCCTGTCATTGACCTTCAGATCTCTGAGGATCACAGTCTTGTCTCATCTTCATTTGCATTTTTCCAAGCTGAATTGCCTACACCAGCCTTCCCCAACTGGGTGGCCGTCAGAGGCATTTGGACTGCAACTCCCAGAATTCCCATCCAGCAGGGCCACTGACTGGGCATTCTGGGTGTTGCAATCCAAATGTGTCTGGAAGGCAGAAGGCTGGGGAAAGTTGGTCTAGATCCAATTCATATGTAATCAGAACGTCTCACCTTCTTGCAGTCTTCCATCTGCAGCGGCAGCTCCCCCAGGAAAGATGGTCTTCACATATATACCAATGGGGCCATATATGCTATCTTGACCTCCGACAATGCTGAAACCCAGCCCCTAATGAGAACACACAGAGGGCATTTTAATTAATTGATGTCTGCTTTTTTCCCAACTGTGTAACTGAATGAAAATAGTTTTGCATACCACCAAGATCTCAGCATGTGTTCCACAGTAAAACACAGGAACCTATCAATACATTTTTTGCAAGCCATTTTTTCTGACTGCAGAGGTGAAAGCTTGGGACCCCCTTTTTTCCCTCCAAAAATACACTTGGGAAGAAAAGAATGAATACATTCCCCGCCCCCCCTTACCTAACCCTAACCCCAACCCCAAATGTCCCTTTTTCCCCTTTGTTTTTCACACCCAGGAGATCTCTGTAAATGATTTCCATGAACATATGCCTGCCTGCACACACTTCCTCCTGAGACATGCATTCCTGTACAGATTCTTTTGATGGAAGAACTGCAGCACACAATTCAAGGAAATGTGAACTCTGACGGATAACCGTATTTCTATTCACATCTCAGTCTGGAAACTGCTACACACGCGCAGCCTCATCCCTAATCAAAAAGCGATGCATCTCACCTTCCCTTGGCCTTTCATTAAGACAATATTGGAGATCACAGAGGCCTGCAAGCCACACGACGCCTGCATCAGATGGGCTGTACTGAGCGATCGAGAGGACCTGGAAAGGGACTGCATTTCAAGCAAAAAAGCAAGCAGCAGTAAGAGTTAATGCAAAGTCCCTTGAATAGCGCATAGAGCACCAGTTATTGCCTTATATTAATGCCCTGCCCTTTCCCCTTGCAAGGATCTCCTCTCCATGCAATGCTCACAATAACCCTGTGAGGTAGGTTAGGCCATAAGGCCATGGCTGGCTCAGAGTCACCGAGGGAGCTTCCTGGCTGAGCTGGCCTGAACCCACAAGTCCTGAGCCCCAGCCGGTCGCTTTCACCACAATGCCAAACGGGCACCTGCTCAGTGCAGGTGCCCATCGTTACAGCAGAGGCCCATCGCAACACCGCAAGGAGCATCCAGCTACACAGGTAGCAACACATTTGGACAAAGTCCAAGCAAACTGGGCTGCTTCAGCAGAAAAGGACTATCGCTAAACCTGTTCTTTAGACTACAGCATGAATTTCTCCAGTCCCTGTTGAAAGCCACTGGAATTGGTGGCTATCGTAACAGCCACCAGACCCTGCCGGAAATAGGTGACCCGGATGCTTCACGTTCACTTCCAGCCCCGCTGCAGCGCTGTGCATTCAGCAGGAGGAAGCAAGGAGGGGAATTCTGGACCACACAGCTGGGCACCAACCGAACAGTCTCTGCTCAGCCCCGCTGTCAGATTCATTTCCTTTCCCTCTTACATTTATGGGGGCTCTTCCTGCCGAGCTGTCCAGCTGCTGAGAGAGCGACTTCCTGTTGCTGTAAAGAGAATGGGCCTGCCTGTATCGAGAGGCTGATTTCTTGGCCATGGGACTGTCCATTTCCCCTATCCAATATGGGCTCACACCTGTAAAAAAATTAAAAGCAGATGGGGTGGAGCTGTCCTCATTTTATTATGAGCACCAGAGGAAACACAGAGACTTCCCCAAGCTGCAGCCCGGCAGCAACCCAGACTACAACTCTCAAGATGGGCTTTTGGGCACAAAGCAACAGGAGGACATGGGAGGGTGGGGAAGGCTGAGCTACAGAGGAAAACCCGCATTTGCAAACAGTAGCCGTATTAGCTGCCACCGCCACTGCCGCCTCCTAAGGCAGAAGTTCAGCAGGGATCCACTCCCTGGCGTGGAGGTGCGTGGAAGCACTTCTGCTGGTCATGCAGAGCCATCAAAGAGGCAGGCGCAACTTGTAATCCTATCAATGAGTGTTTGACTCGTGCACCTATAAACGCCATTCTTGCAGCCCAAGCAGAGCTAAAAACCCGGTTTGCCAAGCCTCTTGGGGGCCTGCGGGCAACCTCAGCACCCAGTATCCTTTTCCCACTACTGGGGCCCCAGGACCCTGGCATGCCTGCCTTAATGACTTTTTTCCTGGAACTAGGTCAGCACCTTAATTTCCCTCAAGAACAGGGATGCAGTCTTGCTCCAGGGCATTGTGGGAAATTAGAAGGCTAGACCAAAAAATGCAGCCTGAAGCAATGGCAAGTAACGTCCCATTTCCCCACTTTCGTGTACAAACACTAGACAATCAGGCAGTTAAACCTTATTCCAACACTGGTAACAGGGTAAAATGTTTCCGTGAACCTGAAGGCAGCAGGGGGTTCAGGGTATAAGGGCGAGTGATGGGGCTGTATTCATTCTGCACCCCTCCGCCTCTACTGTCACTCAGGGTGGATGAATCGGCCCATTAAAGTTTCTCCCAGTTTCTCATTTGGCCTATGTTAATTTCCGTTTGTGCTGAACTTTGTGAAGTTTGTAAAATTTTACATAAACATAATTTTTTGTGCTCACTCCACTTATGACATGCACTTCTGTACATGATTATAGCTTCTTGGAAGCAATTTTCCTGATACATTTGTCACATTGTTTTCATTAATAAACTCAGGTTAGTGCAAACTTTCCCCTGATTAAAGAATCCCAGATTTGTGTTTACATTGTTTTGACCGAAGAGATCCAGTGCAAAATTTGGAGAAGTCGACATCGCAACATAAATAAGTTTTGGTTCAGGTTCAAAAGTGTGAAACTGGGTGCTTGTAATTTGGTACATAAAATGCATGTACTGCTCAAAACAGCACTCAATATTCTATTAGGAAAACTGCTTGCAAAGAAAGTGTATATTAGGCTTAATCACACACAAAAATGTTTATATTCAAAGAAATGTCTGCTAAAATACATACAGGTTTTCACATTCGAGATGAACTAAATTAAGATTTTAACTTTAATTCTTAAAGTTCAGAATTAACCAAACATTAGATGGAGAAAAACAGAACCTGAAAGGGGCCAACAAGGAACAGTTTTGCCCATCCCTAGCTGCCACTTTCAGCCATCCCATCTCCATTAACAGTGATAATTACTGTGCTCCAGAGGGGCAAGGATCAGATTGGAATCCAGCTCTCTTGCACTCTCTGAGTTTCTTTCCCATGCTCAGTCCTGACCAGGAAGCCGGGTGAGCTAAGAACAGGTTTGTGAAACACTGGCAGAGACTTTGTGCAAAGTACGTGAAGTACATTATATATGTACAAAATATATGCAAAGTACTTAATTCTTTATGCAAAGTATACCAAGTACATGCTTTCTGCATAAAGTATGCAAAGGCCACAGGTCACAGGTGCGGAAACAGAACTCTGCTGGTACTCACTTCCTGCTGGCTGCCCAAGCAAATTCTCAGTGCAAGACAGACTTAGGGAAGAGAGAAAGTGGGCTGGAATTAGGACAGCCAGGCTGAGGAATTCCCACAGACTGGGCTCCCAGCCTCTCTGAAGGCCACCTAGGCAGCACACGGTGCTCACAGGATCGCCTCTTTCCTCATTCTAAAGCATGAAGTGTCGATGCCCAATTCAAAGTACAGACCTTGGCTTCTTTGAGGAACTTACTGGCTGAATTACTGCGGGTCCTCTGGCATTTCGCTTTTGTCTGCAGGACGAAACCATTCTGACCATCCTGTTTACCAGGGAGTTCTTGGCGTGAACACACTGAAGGTTCCTATGATGGGAGGGGAATGGGTAAGTGGAAAGAAATCTGGACTATCTTAAGTAACACCTGTTACGATAATTATTCCGAGTAGGGATACTAGAGAAATCCACAACAGGCTCAAATGAGTTCAAAGTCCTAAGAATCCAGTCCACAGATTTCACAGCAGGCCTACTTTTTCCAGGCCGCAATAGAAAAAGTCAAGCAGGAAAATATGGAAAGTAGGAAAAAACCCAAACAAAAATGAGCACTTCCCTATTTATTAGCGTATTGGTGGGATCAAGCAGTTTTCCATATTGGGAGGTTTACAAATGTTTGGGGATTTGTCCATTTTTGGGAATACAACATTTGCACAACTGCAAATTTGTGATTATGCATACAAATGCATTTGCACAAAATCCAATTCCATCAATGAGTGGAACGAAAGGGACCAGACCACTTGTAAAACAGAGAGAACAGCTTTTACACCCTCCATGCTGCCAGTGCTCCAAGTTTGCATGCATATGTTGGAGTTAGGGGAGCGCATGCTTTGTTCCATCCATTCTATGCGTTGACTGATGGAGCTGCACATTTTTTCTGGATGGACCATGTCTTAGTTTTACCTGTGCAAGTGTGCACAAGCCTCCAGATGAGGCTAAACAATTCATCCGGGACTAATTTGACGGTTCTTGCAGGGGTACCACATGACTTGGCATGTTCGGGTACCTGACGGGGGCCTCTGCCAGGAGTCCACTGGCCCTGCTGCTCCTCTCTTCTCACTGTTGCCCTGCTCTTGCTCACCCACCCTCTGGCCCAGAGACAACAGGAAGGAGAGGGAGCTGGAGCAGTCTCTGGCAGTCAGTCTCTGGCAGTCAGTCACCTGGCTCCATGGCAAGGCGGATGAGAGCCACTGAGAGCAGCTTCCCCCACAGCATGAAAACTGCCTCGTTATCAAGCGGTGACTTCCTTTCTGCAGCAGCAGGGGGCACCCAAGCAAAACTACTCAGATTTGGTTATTGCATCTTAGGAGGGAATCTCCCATGATTACATGCTTGGAAAAGAGAACATCAGTGTAGAGTTGCCACCTTCGGTCCTTAGCAGGGCTTCTTCTGTTGCTATATTTAATTCCCACCTCCTTTTTTTGTGGCAGCCATGGCTTTACCAGTTGCACACAGGCAGACATTCAACAGATGGGGGCTCCCCCAAGCTGCATGGTATGAACCATGGTGATTAAAGCTGCACCTCCTGAATTCCCATCTGCTGCATGACTGCCAAAAACTCAGCCAGGACAAGAAATCACATGGAGTGATGCCGTTTCTCAACATAACTGAGGATGCATTATGAGTCCATCAAAAGCTTTGCATGCTTCCACGTGCAATGGCAGGAGTCAGCATTGCTGGGCCATCGCAGGGGCCACCTAGGAAGCTTGTCACTAGCCACCCGAACCCTCTGCTTTTCTGGCCATCGCCACCCACTGGGAAGAAGAGGGGCCAGCACATGCCACTGCTCGTCACGCACCCACCCTTTTCCTTCAGCTGGCTCAGGGCAGGTTGGGAGGCGGGAGACACATGAAGTACATCCTGCACAAAGCCACTCCCTCCAGGAAAAAAAGAAACCAGGAGATAGACCTTCACCCTCTTGCTTACCTTGTTGGCAATTACTAAATTTACCAAGCCCTTTGCTGATTGGATGAGTGACTCTGCCTCTTTGCTGGAGAGCTCTTTAAGAGGTTGTCCATTTACTGTTAAAAGTTCATCACCTGGGCTCAAACGTCCGTCCCTTTAAAAGCCAAAAACATCAACATTAGACCCCATCTGAATCAGCCCTTCAAAAATGTCTTTGAAAGCATGAAAACCCTTCTCTCATCTTGCAGAAACATAGAAACAGAGCGAGCCAGGCCATCTAGGTGACCCCCAGCCCCAGCCAGCTCCGCTCACGAGATGCCTACCATGTGCATGTCCAGCCTATGCTCGAACACCTTCACCAGTGGGGCTTCAACCACCTCCCGTGGAAGCCCCTTCCATATCCTTGGGGTCCTGTCAGGAAGTATTTCCTGGCATCCAAATTGAACCGTAGCGCCCTGAGCTTTGCTCCACTGGAATGCGTCCTGCCCAAAGTTGGCCCCCTTGAAGTCCCAGCTTCCAGTACTCGACCTGCTGCTCATCCCTATTCCTCTGACCACTCGCATCCAGAGCTCCCCTAAGCTGCACCCCATCTATCAGCTACTCCCTGTTGGTCAAGACCAAGTCAAGGATATTTCCCCCCTTGTCGCTTCCTGGACCCTCTTGCAGGTAACCTTTGAATTCAGAAACAAATCACCATTTCGGTTTGCCAGGTGACCTTTGGGTGGAGCATAGGAAGAGCCATGCCGAATCTAACGCAAGTCCCATCAAGCCCAGCCCACTCTTCGTACAGTGGCCAACCAGCTGCCTGCGGCAAGCGCACAGTACGACACCTTCCCACCCAAGTCCCCCTGCACCTGGTGTACCCAGGCACACTGCCACAGCGACCGGAGTAAATATATACTGATCGTGACTAGCAGCCTTATCCTCTACGAATGAGCCTAAGCCACTCTAAAAACCATCAAAACAGGGTCCATCCCTAAGTTTTGTGATAGTAAATCCCCAAAGAATTCCTCAGGCTCCAGGCTGATCCATCAAGATAACCCATTCCATGCATTTCCATGGGTTTTTAAAGAAATCTTGTTGGGTAAATACCTCTGGGCAGCTCCTCCATTAATCACATGACTGATAGTGTATTCTTTGCCAAAAGCAGAGCAGTTGGGAGTCCGAGAAACTTGAATTCCCAGTCCGTCATTCCCAGTGGCGATACATAACTTCCAGATGCAGCTGTCCTGGTTTGGAAGGCAAGGAGGAAATAATTTAGGGTGAAGACAGACACTTCTAATCAGGTTAACTGTAAGATTCAGAAAGCCTATAAATAAATGAGCAGGCCGTAGTTTGCCAATTAGAACAGAATTTCCTGCTGCAATGCTGTACTTGGATCTGTATCTCAGCTGGTAGCGCAGGTACTTGGGCGGCAATCCTTGGTGTGTGAACGTCGTATTTTTGATTGATCGTATGGGTTGGACCATGCCCTGCCTCTACTGCATTTGCAGTGAAAGCTATTTGGAATCCAATGAATGCACAAAGGCACACGTGGTTGTTTGTCTAATACTATGCACTTCTTTGCTGGCAGATCCTTCTCACCTAAAAGGTTTCCATTTATATCTTCCTTAGGCATCTGAGAGTGAAATGGCTTGCTTGAAGTGAGCATCTCTGTGGCATCAATTGAAAACTGGAGCTCATTTCTTTCTGTTCCTTCTTTATGGCAATTGAATAGTAGAGTGAGTGGCTGTTAGACTAACCCACTGGAATTTTTCAAAGCAAGACTCTGGGGCGAAATGGGTGAGCCATCTGAAAATTCTCTAAAACCGACGAGCTTGCAGTTTCTGCAATTTATGAGCCCTCATCCAGCCCATCATACCTTCCAGATACCTGTTCAGAGTAGTCACTGCCTCACCTGGATTGGACGTAAATGAGAGGTAGAGCTGGGTGTCATCAGCATCTCCCAGCAGTTTTGTGTAGATATTGAAAAGCATAGGGGATAAAATGGAACCCTGAGGAACCCCACGTCGTAACTGCCATGGCACAGAGCCACAATTCCCCAGAGACACCATCTGGAATCGCCTGGCCAGGAAGGAGCAGAACCACTGCAAAGCAGTGTCTCCACCCTTAACCCCGTCAGCCCATCCAGAAGGATGCCATGGTTGATGGTACTGAGGTCAGGAGAACTAACAGGGAGGCACTCCCCATTACTCTCCCAACAAAGGTCATCCCACAGGGCGACCAATGCAGTTTCTCTCCCCAAAAAAACGGGCCTGAAACCAGATTGAAATGAGTCTAGATGCTCAGTTTCCTCCAAGAGCATCTGGAGATGCCTGGCCACCACCCTCTTGAGTACCTTGCCCAGAAAGGGGATGCTAGCCACCGGTCAATTGTTGGCGACATCTTCCGGGTCCAGGGTTGCCTTCTTGAGGAGAGGTCTGATCACTGCCAACTTCAGAGGAGAGGGAACCAGGCCCTCCCTCAGAGAGGCACTGATGACCGGCTGGACCCAGGGCCACATCCCTTCCCTGCCTTTGATGATCAACCAGGAAGGGAGGAGGTGAGTGTGGACAAGGTGCCTGAACTCATCCAAGCACCTTGTCCGCTCCCTCAGGCTGCAATAACTGAAACTCATCCAACAAGACTGGATGAGACGGAACACTGGACGCCTCCCATGCAGGACTAACCCCAACTGTGGAGTCCACTTCGTGGTGGAGCTGAGCGATTTTACCCTCAAAGTGTTGTGCAAATTCGTCACAGTGGGCTACTGAGGGTTCGACAGCATCCACCCTCGCGTCAGATTGCAAAAGGCCATTAGCCACTCGGAATAGCTCCACTGGGGGGGGGGGGGAGGGGGAGGAGGAGGATCCTCAATGAGGATGCAGTGCTGGAGGAAAAGAATCTCTTCTTTGCCACCCTCACCGCCACAGTGCAGGCTCATGCTCAGTCGGACTCAGCAGGGGTTCCTCCTCTGCGCTCTAGCCGTCTTCCAGCTTTTAGCCCACCCCACTTGGCCCACTCCAGCTTTTCCCAGCATGCAAGGAACCATCCCGAGGCAGCCTGTGATACAGCTGATAAAAATGAGGAGCTTATCAGTGTAAAAGAGGTAGCAACCCTAATTCTGCATAAATACACCGAACTGGATGCACTGGGTTCAAAACCAGATTAAGAGCCAAGCGTTGAAAGCTCTCTGCCTGCAGGGACCAATCTGTCTGCTTTGGTTTCACTCACTTTTGATATTTTCAGCATCTCAAGCTCGGCCCATATTTTTTCTGGAGATAAGAGCTGGGGCTAGGAAATTCTGGAGGTTAAGAGCTTTAAGCAGAAATATGCTGGCGTGTTCAGTCCCACCCTTTTTGCCATCAGCTACACCCACCACTGCAAGGTTCTCTGAAATGGAATTTAGGCACAGGCTGAAAGTTGTTCCTCTCCTGCTGGAGACAACAAGCAACACTGCCTGATGGGGATGGCCCTGAAATTGGTTCAGCTGACACTACCAAATACACGCTTCCCACAGCTAGCTACAGATGAAAACTTTACCTGTGAAAGTTGTGCATTCCAGAGGGGACATACAAAATCTGCACTCTTCAAAAAACATGCACACAAAGCATGCATTTGTACATGGATGCACACCAAACTTCAGCTGGTGGCCCAGCTATGCGCGTACCTGGACAGGGATAGCCAGGCTTCAGTTGCCTACGCTCTGCTAATCTCTAAACCGGATTGTTGCAATGCTCTACATGGGAAGCCCTTGAAGGTGGTCGAGAAGCTGCAGCTGGTGCAGAATGTGGCAGCCAGATTAATTACAGGCCCCAACATATAAGACCGGTTCTAGCCCGTTTGCATGGGCTGCCTGGATGTTTACGGTCCCAGTTCAAGGTGATGGTTTTAACTTATAAAGCCTGCATCTTTTGCCTCCTGGGGAGAAAAGCAGCTCAGCTCAAAGCCTTCAGGAGCTGTTTTGGCAGGATAAAACAAGGTGTTGGCCAAGGCAGTCTCTCTCTCTCTCTTTTACCCCCCACCTTTGTTATTTCTTGTTATCATTTGTTTTTATTATCTTTTATTAGCAGTTTTAAACTTTTTTAAAAACTGTTTTATTATATTTTTATTGTACATTTATCATTTCTTTTTATAGACTGTATAAGCTGTCCAGAGAACTTTGGCTGTGGGGCAGTCTAGAAATGCAATGAATAAATAATGCAACTTGATGAAGAACTGGGATAGAGCAAACTGAGCAGCAGAAATAGTGAGAACACAGGCTCAACTGAGCCTCAGAGATTTGCCCAGTTCTCTGGTTGGAAAGCTGCCTCTCCGCATTGTCTTCCAAAATGACTTCCACATGCCTTCCAGAACTGCTCTGAAGCCCTGTCTTGCTTCTGAGAGAAGCCTTTAGAGCTGTTGTGAACGGGGTCAGACCTTGGTCTGGCTAATCCAGGATTCCTAACATGGACAGGCAATAAGTCTCCAGGGTGTCAGGCAGGATACTTCCTCCCCACTTTACCTGGGGTGTGGGGTTCAGACCTGGGGGTCCCACATGCAAAGCATGTGATCTGTCCCTGAACTGCACCAAGCTATATTGCAGAAATCTGCAACACCATCAAATGTGTTCAGAGGTCTATGAATCCAACCAATGGATTCCACAGCAAACTACCTTTTCATCAGTTATATCATCCCACAGGCTTGTAGGCTACTTTTCAAAATTTCTGTAATTTCATACAAATGTATAGCAAAAACACCAACTGAGAATGTGGCTTTCGACTTGTAGAGTAAAGCATGAAAATTCACACTTTAGGGGAAATTGTCTTTTGGGGGGGATTTCTGCATTTATGGAAGTCTGAATTTGTGCAAATCGATACGACCACATTGGCACAAAATTGGGCTCTTTCACTGGGTGGGCAATGAAGCAAAACACGCCGTGCCAGCCACAAGATGCAGATGGAACAGGTTTAGCAAAGCCCACCCGCCTCTCGCTATGGGGCCTGCACGGTCCCTGCTGCAAGCTGCATAATGGCAGCTGTGTGCGGCAGCGATTCTCTCAGCGCATTCCGAGTGGGAGAACCCGCTGAGCCGATGAATGAAGAGCATGCTGGCTGAGTCCGGCACACAGCAGGGTGCGATGCCCTTGGCACGCTACGCACTTCTGCTGGCTCAGGGGAGCTCTTGCCAGAGTTTGATGCCTGGGGATTTCTGACTGGGAGCAGCTCACCTTCCATGGGGCTGAGGGGAAACCTTACCCAAGCCCTGGAGGCAGCAGTGGGGCAGCAGTGGGTGCGGATCCTACCTTGATGAAAAATTTCCTCTTCATAGTCTTGCAGCTGTCACTGGCGGCAGCCCTCAGCTGTACCATGCTGCTGATTGTAAGAGGATCTGGCGGGCCTTCCCTGCCCGTGGACGAGCACGCTAGGTGAAGCCGAGGGCAATGGCCAGCTTCCGCTTGACCCCAGTTGGCCTGGCTCTCAAAGGGGTTGTGATACTTCTCTTCGGGGCTGGATCCGTCATCGCTGTTCTTGCCATTGCAGAGGATGAGAGACCGTGAAATGGAGCGCAGAGTCTTGGATTTTCGGCTCTTGGCGCTGTTCTGCCGTTCCATCTCTGGGGACCTGGCAATCTTCTGGCCCTGTCAATTTGCCATGGCTATCGCAACTAAGTTCCCCCAGTCACTGCAGCTGAAGATCCTGTTGGAAGAGAGCGACAAGGGGGAGATTAACCTAGATTCAGAACATGCTGTTTCATTGCTTCTCCCTGTTCCACCCCAAAATAACACACCACGGAAAACGTGTGATTTAAGACAGAGGCTTTCAGTTCAGAAACAGCAATGTGATGCCTCATGACTTGCTAATTCTCCTTGGCTGCATGCTTTTCTTCTTCCTCGGAATACTGCTAGGATATCTCCACCACCTCTGGATTTTATACCCTTTCTATCTGCCTCCAAGTACTATGGAAGACCCAAAATGAAACATTCTCTATTGGACCTCCTTGATTTAAGCCATTCTCCTACCATACACTTTCCCTTGGTTACACACCTAAAAAACCTAATATGTAAACGTGATAAATATGTGGTGTCCAACCCCCATCCCCAAATCTATCATATAGGCAGGCTGGATTGAAGGCAAAATTACACATGCAGATCCCTGCATCTTCTGTCTCCTGGGGAGAAAAGCAGCTCAGCTCAAAGCCTTCAGGAGCTGTTTTGGCAGGATAAAACAATGTGTTGGCCAAGGCAGAGAGGTGTCTTAGTACGTTCAGCTCTGGGCAAGGATCCAGGATTGGATGTCACTGTAGCAGTCCTACTGCAATGCCCAGCCAAGCCCAAAGAGCCGTGGGGGAAAGGTCTCCATTCCTGGTGACCACTGTGCAGCACACCTTCTTCTACATCAAGCGCATGCACCGCACCTGCATGCTGCAGGTGGCACGGATGAGGATGCTGTTTGCATAACACGTGGGGCTCAGTTCCAAGTGAGCACCATGTGAGCACTGGGCGGGCTCACCAGGAACTCAGATGCAGGACTGCTGTGAAGTAGACCAGAGTCCAGGGAGCTGAGTGCACAGATAAGCTTTTGTGGGTTCTTCTAACCCAGGTTTTAGATATTTAGTCTTGCATTCTCCTGGCCGAGCTACTGAAGCTGTCTGTTGCCACTGGACAGGGGCAGCCCCACACGGACGCAAAGCTACAGCAGCCCAAGGAACAGAACGCCCTTTCGTAAGCTGCCTCCACTCCACTTCAAAATCCAACGATTTTTTTTAAAAAAGCATTGCAAGTGTATTACCTGCCTTCAGATGCTGCGCTTCTGCATTCGTTACCCTTCTGCTGGAAGACGGCATGGCTGAGTTCAGTAACTCATGCAAAGAACTGACTCCTCTGAGGGCAGAAAGCGTCTCTAGAGCAGGAAGGACTGCCTGTCCCCATCACATCCAACCATTCAAAATCACTCTGACTTCGGAGATCACCCAAACATTTGCAATGCTCTTTTTAGCAGCTCTGTATGACCATGAGAGCAGCCTTGCCCAATGGGAAGTGTCTTCTCCGGCGAACCATTAGGAGAAGCCTCTGAACCACAGCAGCTCGCAAGCACTGGGGCAGGCTTCCTCACGACATGGTGGGCTTTCCTTTGCTGGAGGCATTTAAGCAGAGCTCTGGATGGGGGCATCTGTCAGGGCTGCATTTATGTATTTATTTTATTTACATGTCTATAATGCCCAGCAGCCACGGCTCTTTGGATGGCTTAGAACAAGTTAAAACTATGGGATGTCATAGTTGCAAAGGTTCCTCCATTGATCGGGGGTTGGGATAGATCACCTCCAAGATTCCTTCTATGATTTGTGCCAATTGCCTCAAGCAGAAAAAATAGAGGGGAGGCATGAAGGCCTTCCAGTATCTCGAGAACTGTCCTGCAGAGGATGGAGTAAGCCTGCTCTAAGTGGGAGTCGTAGGACCAGGAGAAGAAACCCACAGAGCAGTTGATTACAGGTCATTATTAAAACAGAATGCCTTGGATGGGAATGAGACATCCTCCCCTGGGCCAATCTACACAAAGGCTGGACACTCTTCTGGTGGGATGCTGTAGTTCCAAACCTCTTGCACTGAGCTAGACTAGATGGCCTCCAAGGTGGCTTCTGTAAACTGTGGCATGTACTGGGCACAACTTGCATAAACACCCCTCCGGACATGGCTTGTCATAGAAACACAGAAACAGAGCGAGTCAGAAGGGGCCTCCCGGGCCATGTAGTCTGACCCCCAGCTCCAGCCAGCTCTGCTCACGACATGCTCACCATGTGCATGTCCAGCCTATCTTTGAACACCCTCACCAGTGGGGCCTCAACAACCTTCCATGGAAGCCCATTCCACACCCTCGGGGTCCTAACTGTCAGGATGTGGGTGGCTTGGCTTGCTTGAGGGGAAAACAACCCACCAATAGCCAAACAACACCCATAGGGAATGTGAGGATGTTTCTTCCTCCAACAAATGATTATACACAACATTCCAATCATGTACCATGGCTTAAACAAGCCACCATTAAAGCCACCATGGCTTGTTCAATCTACAATGATCATGTGAACTAGCCCACAGAATTGCCTAGGGGGTCACCTCCCCCATATTTCAGTTTTAATATGTTGGGACAGAACAGAGAAGCACCAAATCAGTGGGATGCAGTTCAGCTTATACACATCTGACCACGTGCATCCAAAAATACTTTCTGCCTCATTGCTGAATCCCACGTCATTGAGCATCTGCTCATCCAACTTTGCTAAAATGGATCACACCATCCATGGAAACAGGCTCCCTGATCATAAATCAGCACTACAGCAGCAACCACAACAGAAGCAATTACAACAGGAACTAACCTGGTCTTGAAAGAAATTCAGCTGCTTCTTTTAAGCACAACTCTCCCCCTTTGAAGAAGAAAACATTTCCAGAGTTGGAGAAAGGTCTTAGAAGCCTTGTGATAAATGCTCACCTTCCTGGAAGAAATGCATTCAAGGAAAGGAATTATATTCTGCAGATCAATGCAGCAGAGGAACAGACGGGAAAAGCATTGGAGGGGGGTGGGAGGGGCTGCATGAAGCAAAGAAAGCCGTAAGCCCAGGATGGGTTTGCCAGGTCTACTAAGTGCTTTTACGGAGGATGGGAGCACCTCTATTGTAGAGCATGGCTTAAAAGAGTTCAACATGGCAGACTTCTTTCCATGAGAAGGGCTGGGGCTGGAAAAGGATTTGTCTGGCCAGCCAGAGGGAGGAGAGGAGACTCAGAAGGGCTCTTCTAGAGACAGGGGTACATGGCAGAGGGTCATGACCTGAAGGGGTGGCCCATGGCAGAGGGTCATGAACTGTTTTCCCCTGCGGTAGAGGAAAGGATGTAGTCCAAGGGGGCAAAGCTCAAGGAACCAGGTTTCAGGTTGGATGTCAGGACGTACTTCCGGACGGTTAGGCCCCCTGGGATATGGAATAGGCTTCTATGGGAGGCAGTGGAGGTTCCATCAGTGAGGCTGTTCAAGGAAAGACTGGACACTCACATGAGTGGAGGTGGCTTGTGCTGAGGGTCAGACTAGATGGCCTAGGAGACCCCGACTGACTTGCTATGTTTCTGTGTTTCATTTTTAGGTAACAGGGAGATTGTGAAGGAAGCATATTAAGCATGTGTACATATTTCACTTTAGTCCATTTATATTAAGAACCGACCAAAATTCTCAAGTTTCTTCTCATTTGGGAGTGAAAGAACATCAGGATTAGAAAATGTCAAATGTGAGAAAAACCAAGAGATAGTGTTGTCTATGCAGGTAGGCATTTTCCAGTGCATAGGTCTTAAAATTCTGGGCTGCTTGCTGGTGTACCCAGCAAGAAATGTGAAGAATAAGGGTTGCTAACTCTTCTCCTTCTTCTTTTCAATAGACTCCACACTTTTAGCAGATGTACAGCAGTCAGATTCAGCACTGTCCTCTCCATGCTGGAATGACCTGAATCTCTTGAAGCTGGGTGGGATTTAAGTTCAGGCTCAATAAGAATTTACCAAAATTCACCTATTTCCTCTTATTCAGAATGAAAGGAATTTTTTTTAAAATAATTAAATGCTGGAAAAGCAAAACTGACGCATCCATTCCTAAACAAGTTCCAGGCATAAAAAGCAAGCCAGCTGGGTGAAGACTTTCATGTCCCACCCCAAGTTTAATTCATGTTGCAATCCTATAAAAATTTAGGCAGAAAGTGTTCCACAGCAGCCAGCATTCTCCAGCCTGCCCTGCTGGCTGGAGAATGCTGGGAAATGTAGGAGTTTTTTTCCATCTAAGCATGCACAGGATTGTGCCTCAGTGTGATTCTGAGAACAGCTGCCCATGTTCAGTGAGATGCAATTAACAGTCAGCACAAGCTACATGTATCAACAGTGCGTGTTCAGCTTGCTGCATTTTGTTCTTTCTGTACGTCTGGCGCTCCAAATGCTAAGTTGTCTTGCATTATGTGCTTTGTAATCAAAACCAAATGTTAACTGTTTGGCTGATCTATTTTCTTTTTTCTTTTTCCCCTTCCCGCCTCCTCTGTTTTATGCCAAATTACCTTAACCTGTTGTCTTCTTTTATGTAAACAATTATGCACCCAAGGAGCTGTGTCCATTTGGTTTATATTTCATTTGGGATCCTGAGCAGAGCATTTACAAATACACAAACTGCTTGGTGCAATCGCCAAGGCTGAGCTGCAGAGCGTTGCTCACAACAAAGTCATGGGAAATGCTAGAGCTCTCCATCCACGAGTGTTTTTCTGTCCATTGGCACAAGCAGCGCAAGGCATCCTCTTTCATCCAACTCTGATGAGAAAGCGACAAGATTCGGCAGTTTCCCTTTCTGAGCTGTTTTCATACATTAAACTGAAATAATCAGTTCTTAAGCTGTTCAGTCAGTAAGTTTCCTCCTTTCTTATAATCATATCTCTCAGGAGACGAGATTACTTTGGGGGGAGGGGGAGGCTCACAACCATGCTAAAAGATAAAACAGTAAAAGGGACTTACAACAAAGCAGCAGACAAATCAGAGACCTTCGGAAGGTAGTTTGTCTTCGCGGGCCTGGCAGAAAGACTGAAGTACAATAACTGGAAACACACCCT